ATGCAGATTGGATAGAAAAAGTACCTCCGGTACATGTCATTTACTGGGAAGCAGCCTCATATCTTGGCACAGCAAAAAGCAAGCATGTGTTGCTCTTTCAACCGCAGTAAGCTGAATACATTGTAGCTGGAGCCGTTGTGCTCAAAGTATCTACCTTAAGCAACAACCGACGTACTATGGAGTGACTCTAAATACGGTACCTCCGGTTTGTGATAATACTAGTGCAATAAATTTAACTAAGAATCCTATTCAACACTCTAGAACTAAGCATATTGAAATTAGACATCACTTTATTAGAGAACATGTATCTAGGGGTGACTGTGAAATTTTATTCATTGAATCTAAAAACAGCTTAGCTGATTTATTCACTAAACCACTTCCTAGAGACATACTTAATATGCTTAGGACTCGAATTAGGAATTCTAGATATATCTAGTATTGAATAACTGATTCTTTATGGTGATTATTTTTTTAACAAGTTAATAACAAGTTCAATCGATTAAATTTGTCTAAAAATCTTGAAATTATTTGTATTAATCGATTGAAATTGCGAAATAATCTATTGATTTCCCGATTCTTACTCGTTATTGATATGTTATCAGCTCAATCGATTAAATAAGCCTTTAATCGATTTATTTCATTAACCTTGTAGCTCTGCATATTTTCTTCTATAAATCAATCGATTCAATCTTCGATTCAATCGATTGAATTCACTTTTGATACTCGCATGATTTTCTTTCACAAAAACAATCGATTTGATCTTCTGCTCAATCGATTTATTTTACTTCGAGTATCTCGCAATTGCAAAATCAATTGGTTTCACGAAAAATCAATTGATTAATTTTTTCTAGGGCTAGTTGTGTATACTCGTCACTAAACAATTATCGCAGAGTGGGTTGAATGCATTTACAACGAGATAGACTTCAACTACTTTCTTAAATATCAAAGATATCCAATAAAAGTTGATTGACTCGATTGGATATCGATGTGAGGATAATTAAGATGCACAAGTAACCATTCTTTCTCTCTCTCCACCTTTATCATCACCGCGCAGAAGCGTAGAAGCAGCTTATACAAGAAAGACAAAACCGTGAAGTTGAAGGGATCGTGTGCTCTAAAGAAAACTGTAGTGTTTTTCCTCCTTGAACCATTCTCTCTTCTCGGTTATTCCTCTGTTCATTCCAAAAATCAAGAATGCTCAAACGCACAAAATCTGGTAGGAAGAAGTCCAGCAGAGGAGAGTCTTCTGCCGCAAGGCAAGAACCAAATGTCGAAGGACGCATTGAAACCTGGTTCAATGGGAACCAAGAGAAAATGGATATGTTTATTCATGAAATGAGCAGGAAACAAGTCAATATACCCAAGGTTCTAAAGTTCTCCTGGTTTGACGCCGAAGGATTCAGAGGTGTTCTGAAGCTATCGCAACATCAAAAACTTCAAAAGTTTCTGGAGTTGAATGGTAGGATTTACCCCGACTTAATTAAAGTCTTTTTCACCAACTTGTCCTTTGAAGGTTCCACTTTAAAAACTCAAGTCAAAGGAGTAGACATTGAGATAAGTCCAAATGTCTGGAAAGAGGTTGCCGGAATCAAGGATGAAGGTGTAAAAGTCACCAAAGGATATACTTCGGATGTGGAAGAGTTTAATAAAGTTCAAGTACTTTCGTTCATGCATGAAGAATAATCGAGACTCTGTAAGTTCTTTCAATGCCGGAAAGATGAAGCTTGAGGAAAGGGTTCTCGCTTTCATTGTGGCCTGGCAGCTCACACCCGTGGGGAGCAATCATGCAAGATCGAATGAAGGAGATTTGGTATCGATGTACCGCATTCACCACGTAATAAGGGTGAACTGGGTTTTTGTTATCAAGGACCACATGATCAAAGCTAAGCGGCTAAGTGATTTTAGGTATCCTTATGCTATTTTGATTTCTAAGTTTTTAACACATTTTGGTGTTGATTTGGAAGGAGAACTAGTTGAATCTGTCCGTCCAACAAATGAGATCAATAATTCCGTTCTTCACAAAATGGGATTCATTAAAATTGATGGTGAATGGATCTCCAAAGAAAATGTCGGGAGAGGAGAAGACTTTGAAGAAGAAGAACAAGAGGAAAATGTCAATGCCGATGTTCCGGAACTTCGCAAAGAAGACCATCTCGACCCGATGGAAGAGGTGTCCCCATTGGAAATGATCCCATACACTCCACAGCCTCGACCGTGGCACGCCCTCGTCACGGCTCGAGAGAACCATGTTGCATCGTATGAACGAACCGCAAACCAACCAAAGAAGGCACATGGAGATGACGGTTGATCTGCGGGCTCGTCAGCATTATCTCGGATGAAAATTTCATTGCAAGATTTCAACATATTGACAACCAATTAGAAGACATCTACAACAGGATTGTTGAACTACAATTTAATCAAGGTCCCTGGGATGAATGAAGGCTTATTTTTTTATGTTTCGTTATCTTGTTTCTGTTTCTCGTTGTTATTGTTTTGTTTCATTTTGGGGTATCTACGTGGTACCATGGACTCGTAACTAAAACACTCTTATTTGATGCAATCAAATAGGGGGAGAAGTGTTTTTCTTAAAACCGTCACTACACACACACCACAAAATATATGTCTCTCGGTCTCGTTATTATTTGTGCAGGTGCAGTGGTTATTTGTCTCCATCAAATAAGGGGAGATTGAAGCACTTGGTGGATTTGATGAAGACATAATATTTTGTAGATATAGTTTAGTTTGTGGGTGTGTAGATGAATAGGCTAAGTATAGAACTTAATCTCTTGATAGGCCAATATATTTTGTGATAAGCGCCTTAATATGATGCATCTCAGTTGAAATCATTTTTCCGCATGAAAAACTAACATTTAAGCATTAAAAGAACAAACTAAGTTTTTCAATCTGTTGAAAATGATTTTCAATCTGTTAAAATCACTTAACATAATAAGTGGTCATACATAGTCGAAAATTCAATTGGTTGAATCGCAGAATCAACAGGTTAAAATGACTTAATGAATTTTTCAATATCAAGGTTTCCTATTTTCAATCTGTTGAAATGTTTTTTAATCTGTTGAAACAGAAAGACTATTTTTTCTATCCAAGAGTCTGCAGGATTTCAATCTGTTGAAATGATTTTCAATCTATTGAAACAGAGAGCTATCATTTTTCATAAAGTTGTTTCAATCCATTAAAAACTCGAATCAATTAATTGAATGAAGTTTTAAATGAAATCAATCGATTGAATCGTCGTTTTAATCGATTGAAATGTATTCTGATCGATCATAATTTCATTCTGATCGATCATAACTTGTTCTAATCGATCATAATTTCATTCTGATCGATCATAACTTGTTCTAATCGATCATAATACTTTTCTAATCGATCATAATCGATTCTAACCTCGTTATATTTTCATTCTGATCGATCAGCTTGCATCTCTGATTCTGCTTTTAATTAATGAAACGTTCGGTTCTCTGCTTTACTTTATAAATACAGATTTGATCTATCTTTTGAATACACAACTTGAGAAAACATTTGAAATCAATCTGTGAAGCTATCATATCCGTTACTTTCTCTCGCATTCAAGAACTTTGTTATATCATAAGGTGCTTTGATCAAAATTGTGGTCAATCAAAGAGAGAAAGTGTTGTGTTAGAATCGTTTCGGACAATTGTACCGATAAAGCTTCAATCCAGTGTTTTTTCTTTTCATACTCTTTTGTAAAGTGTGTTTGTGCATGTTGGAATTTGGATCTCGCACTTGTTACAAGAATCGGATTTGGTTACTCGGGAGGTTTTCAAGAGGCTATCTTGTGGGTTTGCAAGATAGTTCTTGGGGTAGATTGGTGAGTATCTACCTGGTTGTAATTTTCACTTGATATTAGTGGAACTTGGCAGATTTGTCAAGAACTGGATGTAGCTCCGGTATAGAGTGAACCAAGTATAAATTGTTGTGTTGAATTTCTTCTTTCATCTCCTTTATTTCTTGTCTATATACTTGCTGTAATTAAAATCAACCTATCTACATAAGAATTAAATAAAGATAATTCATTCTTCCAAAAGAAAGTAAGTTTTGCGAAAAAGTTTTCAAAAGTTCAATTCACCCACTCTTGAACTCAACGATTAATTCTTTCAATATCTCCAATCATGGATTGGGATGAATTTGCTTGGCACACACACTTGTTAAAGATAAGATAACAATCCTGCTTTCTTTATCAGCTTGCGCAGACAATGGATCAAGAAAAGTTGGAAGCAACCAATGACAACAATCCTTCATTAACTTAATCATTTGAATGACCAGTGCACATCAAACCACTCTTGAATTCTGTAGGTTTGTATATATATATATATATATATATATATATATATATATTAAACATGTATAAATAAATTTTCTATTACGTATTTCATGTATAGTCATAAAACACCTATCCAGGGGACTAGTAATCAAAATAATCGTGCACCAGGGGAACTAATAATTAAAATCATAATTTGACTAGACAGGAAACCCGCGAACTTCTTACATTCTGCATCTTAATTGTGTTCATCATCATTAATGATATTTTTAAACAATTTTATGATTTAAACCTAAAATAAATTATTAAAATCAAACATGCTTTTCCCCTAGTCCTGAAATTTCTTTTTCATATTAAATACCAACGACTAAGGATGCAAGAGTTGAAATCATATAACAGCAGTCGCAAACTCAGTGATGAAAAATAAATCGAAATATTAAACGGCATTCTACACAGGAAGTGATTATAAGATGAAAAATGAATTAAATGATGAAATGGATTCGAAACACGATTAGATTGGGAAAAGATAAAACATCATTGTCACCGCCAATAACTCCTACATTAGATAACAAAATTGGTTAAGCAGACCAATAAATGCTGCTACTGTTTTCTGTATAAAAAGAACATAACACCTAAAACGGGAAAAACCATTTACAAAAGTACGACCAAAATGTATTTACATCCTACCGCGCAACCTCCTCAATTAATCTTCTACATTCTGGATCTCCCCCATCATGATCCGGTTACTCACAACGTTAAATCCCAAAACTGAAGGGCTGACCTTTTTCCCCTTCTTACCTTTCTTCTTTCCACCACCTTTAGAGGATCCTTCAGTGCACTCCACATCCTGAATATCTGCATTAGCTAAACCTGTCTCAGCTGGTCCATGTCCAGTAACTTTCTTGTCATTCCTATTCTGAAAAGCAATGTCCAAAACATCTGACGGTAACAGCTCCTTGCAATTCAGGAATTTATCAATGAATTTGTGGTCGGGATCATAGGATCCAAGGTTTTCTATAAGAAGTATCTCAGCTTCCGATCTGGATTGCTTCAAGCAAAATTCAAGGAAACTTGTATCTGCAATAAACACAACGCCCGTCCCACAAAAAATAAACACTTGGCTAAAAATAAAACAATTTATCGTGTTTAAAGAATAAAATACTTTCAACCACAAACGCAAGATTCTAGCGCAGTGATTGCATAAGCTGATGTATATTTGTTCTGTCCGAATACAGGCCTATCTTACCGGTAGGATACGGGTCCGTTATTTCCACCTCGTATTATAGTGACCTTATTTATAGTAGCCTATAATCCAGGGATTTTGCATTATTCAATCCCATACCCATTAAAAATGTGATCGGGCCCAAATTAACTCAATAAAAAGAATCTTTAGAGTTTAGGTTTAGGAAGATTTTAACTCAATCAGAACCAGCTAAAGTCGCTCCAATGTTTTGCTAGAACATGTCATATATAAGCATTCCAACAATATGGTGTCATTTTAACTGTTCAATTCGAAACCGATGTCTACACTAACCCTTCAAACTAGAGAGAACTACGACCAAAGTCTTAAAGATTTACATACCTTTTGTCCCAATAAGCCTAACACACTCGTTCTCACACCAATCTCTGAAGTCCGTGGCCTCTGAAAATTAAACAAGAAATTTCAGTATTTAGAAGATTGTCAAAAGACCCAAACAGTGCATTATATTATGCAATCAGAAAGTACAATAAACAAATAATAAATTATATCCTTTTACCAGAATGCCTTGTCATGGCATCTTTTTTCAATTTCAGCATTGATTGAGAAGAGGCAGGTGATGATGCTAGAGACCGTTCAGTTGGTTTTCCTGTCACTGATTTCTGTTTTGTCAATAGTCCAGGAGAATTACCTTTCAACGGTACATTTTTCGTACCCCAGCTCCCTTGGCCCGCAAGCTGTGGGAAATCCGACCTACTCAAAAGGGAAAAACAAATAAATCAGCGACAGTCCATCAACTGGGCTAACAAAACTGGATGTTTCAAGACACCACACAGACTCAACTACTATTACTACAGAGTATACAAGTTTTAAAACGAAAACCACACTTTTAAAGGGGCAAAATGATTAAAGTAGTACAACAAGGTGAAAGGACGGAAGGAATGGGAACAGATCCACTACAATATACAAGTTAAAGATATGTAACTAACTTTTATGCATTTTATCAGCAGTAAAACAAGTTTTGTTTAGTAGCAGATTCCAAAACCAACAATTTCATAAAGAAAAATGCTACAAAACACACTTTTCAACACCATTACTAAAAGGAGGGACTCAAATAACAATGCATCCAACAATCGTATCAAATGTGGATGTTTTTCACATGCTTCCTAAAGTAATATTTAAAATGTCAATTAATTCTGAACAAATACGTGTTATCAGAACTAACTTTTTTGCTTTCAAAGAAAGCTTATAAACAAAAATCGGAACAAAAGTTTTAATTGAGAAGTTTGAGTGTGAAATTGTCAAAAAGCAGATGAGTGAAAAAAAAAAGACAATAAAGAGATAAAATCATACTGCTTGGCATCCTGCTTAGATTGCTCTATTGGACCCCAGAACAAGTCATCATCTCCCTTGTATTTTGATTGAGAAGCTTGGGTATTTATCTGAATTGGCGAAGCAGCTTTAGATGGAGAGGATGCCGAAACTGACCATGAAGATAGACTACTACGTGTAGACTGGGTAGGCTGAGATTTCTGAGGGGGAGGCATTGGGCTTACAGGAATTGCAGAAGAGGCCTTTTTCTCTTGCTCCTTAAGAATGTCCCTCAATGAAGTTGGTTTTGGAACTCTACCAGAATCAGTAGACCATGCTGGAGAAGGAGAGGTGCTTGATGGTTCTCGATCTCCTTTCCAAAGAACAAAATCACCCAGAGAGGGTCCTGCAGGGATAACAGGCAATTCTTCTTTCTCCTGCTGTACCAAACGCGAGTTTTTTCCCTTTTCATTGGGGCTTGAAGCTACAGGTACATCAGAAGATGCAATGGGCAATGAAGCTTTAGTTCCAGAACCCTTTGATTTTGCAGTCTTTTTTCGGCTTCTTTTAGTATCTTTTGCCTCAATAAAATGGCCATCATCCAGTGATTCTAATTGCACAACTATATTATGTGAGGGCAATATACTATCTGGAACCTCAACATCTAATTCATTAGATTTCTTTAGAACTTCTTCTGCTAATAGATCATGTAGAGGACTTTTCTTGCTTTTGACATGTTGAGAAATTTCAGATTTAACAAAATTTTCAGTATTGCCTCCTTCTTTGTGACTTTCACTAGATACCTTCACAGAGTCTGGATTGGACACAACTCCAGCCCAGGGACTTGCCAGGCTCATTGAATTGACAGAAACAGCAATGTCAGATACAAGCATTTCTGTATCTGCCTTCCTCTGTTCTTCCTGTTGAATTTCTAAGAAAGATTTTGGTTTAACACCAGGAGCAGGTTTCCAAGCTCGTCCAGCAGGTACTTCAGTTTTCTGTGTCAAAATAGAACTAGCTTCCTTGGCATCACCTATATCAACTGTTTCAGTTATCTTTCCAGTAACAATACCAGTCCAGCCACCAGCACGATGGTGATCACCTGCCTCTGGGACTGCACCTCCAGTCTGAGTTCCTTTAACTCTGGTTTGTTGCATATTTGTTTCATCCAATGATTTAACCCTCTTAGGTTCCCCAAAATCACTTGATTTTGGCATTTCAGCTTCTGACTGCTTTGATGGCTGCAAAGTCACATTTTTTACCACTCCCTTTGTTTGATCAAAAGACTGAGACTTGGTTGATTTTTGTTTCTTAGATTTTTTCTCACTAGCCTTTTTAGGTTCATGAACTTCAATGTTTCTTATGTCTCCCAGAGATTGCTCAGATACAGAGCCGTCCCTCCCAGCATGTTGCTCTTGATGCACAATATCCAATTTGGTCTTCACCTCCATACCAGGGTCACTCAGAAGTGGAGATTCAAACCCATTAGATCCAGCTGAAGTTAAGGCAATGTTAGGTGCAAAAGACTGCAGAAGTCCATAATTTTCACCAGGCTTAGAAATCGAGGTCACAACCACACCATCAGGCCTAAAGTTGCTGGGCGGCACCTGTTCTACTGACTTGGAAGTGAAATCTTTAAGAGAAGGAGGTTCTTGCACAATGAATGGTTCTTCTTTGGATCTGTTCTGATCAAGCAATGTAGAACTCTCAATATAAGTTGATGATATCGGCAATGATTCCTTCAGATATTTATCATTAATCTGTTCAGTAAGATTAGGGACCCAATTATCTGGACGACCAGTATCCCCATATAATTGGTGAGGCAGACGTATAGAAGCTTCACTGCTTACATTACAATTTGTATCTTGACTAGCTTTCGGTGGTAGATTCAAAGAACTGGAATTGTGCTCATTATGCACATTGGGGATTGGTGCCTGAGAGCTCATGGGAAAGATCTCTTGGGGTGATTGAAGTTGAGAAGGTTCCACACGCAAATTCCCCATGGGCAATACACCTTGCAACTGTCCATAAGATGAATTGCTGAAAAGCTGGCTAGACTGTTGGTCTTGCAACACTTGAGAAAGCAATTGCTGTTGTCGCAGTAATTGCTGCTGCTCCTCCTGCTTCTGTTGTTGCTTCAGCAACAGGAGTTTATCAATCAAGGGGATCTGCTGTGCTTGAGCAGCTGCCTGAGAATGCAGTTGCAACAAGTATTGCTGTTGCAACATATTTAATATTTGCGGATCTTGTGATAAACCAGAAGAAAGTAGCTTCTCTGCTGCCAAAGCATTAGATGGGTTATCAGCAGCTTGAGCCAGTAAATTGCTTAAAGACAGTTGGTTTTGTGCCGATGGCCTTTGCTGCTGAATTCCAAATGGCATTTGAGGATAATTTTGATCATGAAGCAAGTCAATTTTATTCTGTAGGGGATCTAATGCACCTTGTAAAGGATAATTAGGCCAGCCAGCAGGACCATTATTTAGGCCTGCAGATGTCCTATCAGATAAACCTTGGATGAGTGACATTAACTCGGAACTTTGGGACTGAGGTTGACGAGAGTTATCACTCACTGAAGACAATAGTTTAGAATGCAAGGAGGCATCTGGGACAACATCCGGTTTTGGAGCAAATGAAGCTGCATCACGTCCTGGCCAATATGGGTAGTGACTAGGTATGGACCGCTGTCGTTCAAGTGCCATCCTCTTGGCAAGCAAGTAAAGATTATTTCCATTATCAACTCCTGATGGACCCATATTACCTGGATTATTTCCAACAAACCCTTGTAGACCTAAAATGAATACATCAATAACAATGTCAAGCCTAAATATTAGTGTACATGAACGGAAAAGAAACAAAGGGAAAAATCATCAATGCAGGGAAATACATTATAACTTAATCATCCAAAAAATAATATAAATATAACTAAGTATAGCATGTAAGAACCTTCTGACAACGTCAGGCTATCAAGGGGAGGACTGTTCTTGCTACCAGACATAAGTGACTCCAGAAACCTATTTTCAGCTTCTGTATCAGGATTCTGCCTATGCATAGAATCATTTCTCAAAATGTCAACCTCATTCAAACCAGCAAGAGTATTCCCAAATGTACCGGAAATTTGCCTGACAGAAATATCTGTAAAGTCATTTGGTTTTGGTGCAGTAAACCCAGGTGGTGGTCGGGCTTTGGCCCGTAAATGGGGCATGACATCACCAAGAGACAACCATGGTGAGTCGGCCACTGCATTTTCCAGACGAACAGGTAAATCAATACCAAAATATCCAGCTTCAAACCATCCAATAATATCAATTCCTTTAAATGGGCCTTGGATTAGACCCTTAGGATCTTTATACAAAAGGGATAACTCCTCTGGAACAGTCTGTTGACCTCTTCTGGTTTCAAGTTCACTGTCCAAAATGCCAGACAACTGCCTCTTAATAACAGGATCTTCACTAGCTTGCCACTTACCTACTTCTTTGGAGGTAGATTTATAACCTAAACTCTCTGTGATGCACTCATTATGAGGATCTTTCGGCTGGTGTGAACCAATATCTGTTTTTCTCAATCTAACATCACTAGTTACATCTCTGCTATTGTGAAACTGGTTAGCATGATCACCATGCGACATTGTTCGCCATGGGGCACCAGCATGAACAGAAGTATTTCCTTCAAAAGTTGAATCTCTATTACTTGGCCCCTCTTCAGGCACTTTGTAAGAACTTCCATCTTCACCTCTATCTGTTCATAAAGTATAAAATGACATTCTAGGGGTAAGTAGAGACAGGAAATTATACTCATGAAAAGCAAGATACTATAGTGCAGTTGACATAGGCAAGGAGAATCTCATTTAAGTTAAAAGAAGAATCCATAAAATGTGATATTTAACATTTTCTACAACAGTAGAAATAAAATAAAAAAAATGGGAAAAGGAATAAGAAGTTTAGTTTGTTTGAGGCCACGTAAACACACTTACTAGATGGGAAATCTTCATAATTGTAGGTTTTAAAAAAAATGTGTTATGGAAATATGGGTCAAAACCCCACTCTAAATAAGGGTCAAAACCTCACTATAATTACCTCTACAAACGTAAAAAACAATCTAGTTCCAAAAGTTATCCTGCACCCAAACCTCTCTAGGAGTATATAAATGTATATCCAAAATTTACCTTGAAAAGGTGCACTTCCAGACTTCGTTCTTCTTGTATGAGTAAAATCTGTCGAACTCCTTCCATCTTTTGGCACCTGAGGTGCACCGCTGCTTATTATCTCCCCTTTGTCAATACCCTTTAGGACACTCTGTTCAAACAGAAAAACAAACACTAAACCACCAGAAAAGACAAAATGCATTCTGTAATTAAAAAAATTAAAAACAAAGAAACCAATTACCAGTTCCTCAGAATTTGGTGCCAGAATAGCTAGAGGCTCCAACGGTTCATCCTGAGTAAGATTAGTTACCTGCACAAAATCATCAACTAGTTTTCTATTTGTACCCATACCAGTAACTCTGTACACATCAAGCAATTTTGTCCTGTTATATCTGAAGCGGCTAGGTTCTTCATGCCCACTTTCAACTTTCTCCAATGCAGTTCCAGGGTATGTACTCAAAGTGCTACCAAGAGAACCAGCCCGGCCATGTCCAATAGTAGAGACTGGGGGTGTATTCTCCCCACGGCCACGCCCATAGGAAAATGTAGAGATTGGTTTGCTTGGGGTTGTATGGGAAGGATCTACCCTTCCTCGGCTTTGTGAATAGTTAGGTCTCCATGGCCGGTAATGATCTCCCTCCTTCTCATCCTTTCCCTGACTGGAAATGTTAGACAGACCTTTTTCCAAATGTATATCACCATCTTTCCCGGTGTCACTCCATTTTTCACGGACACCTTCCGGTTCCTTGTCATCAGGACCCCAGCGGGTGTTCCATTTACTTTCACGCCGCTGATCAAAGTTAGTTTCTCTGTTTCCTGAATCACTCCACCTATGATTATCAGATGCACCACGCCGTACTTCTGCAAAGTTCTTTGCAGATAAATTATCTGTCCATCGATCCACTCTGCGAGAATCACCTAGCTCTTTGTCCCCATCCCTCCATCTATCCTTCCTGATGGAGGACTTGGTGTCTCTCTCCTCATCACGCCAACGGTCACGACGCCCACCTTCTGTGTCAAACATGGATGGCCTAAAGACATCTTTTTTCTTATGGACATCATGCACATCCTCTCCATTTCCAGATGTCTTAACAGTCTCTGAGCGATAGCCATATGTTGGATTTGAGATCATGTGGTTCTCCTGATTAGTTAGAATATGGAAATGAAAAAAAAACATTAGCAATTGAAAATTATTTCTGGAATGTTGAGGGTGCACCTATGTCTGATTTAGAGACAAGTTCTACAAAATAATCCGCAGACATCAATATAAAAATATGCAGAACCAGTTAATAAGCACACACCACAGATCCTGATCCAAGTTTACTCTCCCCCGGCCTTGGCAGAAGCCACTGAGGTGAGAGCGGAATGGGATTGTCAGATCCTTGGACATCTGCACAAAATGGATAGAAACTTCAGTTATTGAAAAGAAAATGAAGATTTTAACCATTATAAAAAAAATGCCCAAAAGTCAATTATGCAAGTTCCAAAAATAGAAAGCATATAGTAAAAATATATATGAGAATCATGATCCAGAATGTGCCATTTATGCCGACTTCAACCAAATATGAGGTTTAAAAAAAACGCAATCAAAGTGCTAAATTGGAGCAAATATACCACATACCAAGCAACAGGAAACAGAATCATATGCAGCAGCCTAAATCAGAAAGGTTGTTTTCTTACTGATTTTTGGTATTAGAATGTGAGGGCAGAAAGTGGGATGAACTAAGGAGAAAAATAATTTTTTTCCGGTTTCAACCATATCGAAATTAATATCCCTCATGTAAACTCCGAAAAGCGAATTCCAGCAAGAATTTCCCAAAAACACTCCTGCTTTAAAAAACGGCGACGTTTACTGCAGTGTAAAATTCCAACCTTCTAAACCTCAGTTCACAAAAAACAGGGCACACACGAAACAATATTGCAAAAGAAAAGATTAAAAACAAAAAAAAATCAAATGCAGTTCAGAAAAATAGCAGAATGCGGCACGCAAATCACTCACTAGCAAAAAACTAGTGAATGTCATTTCCGTGACAGAACCAATGAACCCGTTCCGTCACCGTACAAGAAGCAAAAATCAAAGAAAACCCTAAACTCACACCCGTAAACGAAGTACATTTCGGTTGTTCACAGAACTGAAAGAGAGAAAGGTCGGGGAAACTAGGGTTTAGTGAAGCAAGTGATAAACCGCAACTGAATAAAATAGAAGATAAAGGAAAGACAAGCGACGAAGGAGAAGAGACAAAGAAATGGAAGCCAAGGCAAACAAATCGTAGGATTCTAATTCAGAAACAAGAAAATAGAAACGAAGAGGGGAAGAGAGGGAGAGAAATGGAAACCTTTGGAGATCTGCAATGGCGGTGCAACGGAGAGGTGGAGGCGAGTATCGGAGGTGGCGCGTTGTTCAGCCATGGATGATCAGCAAGAGTTGGAAGGAACGAACGAAGCGAGCGAGTGAGCACTGTGCGAACGAAAACCCTTCTTTGCGAGAAATACCAGACGGAAAGGCTAAGGGGGAATATAGGTTAACCCTTTCAACACACTTCATAATGTGTGCTAGGGCGCACGCTAAGACCCTGACTCGTGCGCGCACGTTAGTGCCCATTCCTGTGATTCTCGGGAACGAAATCGCCACGCGCCTTGGACCTATCCGGGTTCGACCCGCTGCGGGATTTCGAATGACGTGTATCCCACGCGCTTCGTTGATGAAAATATTTTTGTCCTGTTAAATATGAAATTTCCCTCGTATTTTTTCGATTCCTATCATTGGTGCGCATTTCTCCCCTAACCCGATTGGTACCAAACGACTCGTTTCATTTGGCCAAATTAAATAATTTTAAATGCTACTTCTCCTTCACACTTTGGAGTTAGATAAGATTTATAAATTATGTCTTAAAGAGTTTATATTTTATTTTGAATATTTTTTAGTCACTTTTATAGATAAGATTTATTAAAATTTATAAATTATGTCTTAAAGAGTTTATATTTTATTTTGAATAATTTTTTAGTCACTTTTATATTTTATTGTAATTAGTCATTCAGTATTAATAAATAAAGAATTATTATTTTATTTTATTATTTACTTTTTAAAATTAATCTTTATATAATTAATATTAAAGTATAACTTAATCTTTATATATTTAATTTTATATAATTAATATTAAAGTATAACTTAATATTTATATATAAAGAATAAATTATTTATAATAAAATAAAAGAATTAAATAATATTTTTAATCATGATATAAAGACATTTATTTTAAATAAAAAAACTATTATTAAAAATAAAGTTAATTTTCAAAAGTTGTTTTTATTCATTTAAATTGTACATTAAATTAAATTTGTTATATATTTCAAAGAATCAAATTAACCACTTTATTTTCTTTAGGTTAATATTTTTAGTCTCTGTATATTTATCAAATTTAGTCAAGATGCTTGTATTTTTAATATATGTAAATATATAAATATAAATATAAATATAAATATAAATTCAGTTCTCAAGCTTAAAAGATAAGTTAATTTAATTTTTATTGTGTTTTTCGTTCTTTATAAAGTTAAAAAAATATATTAAATTTACCTATTTTAAATTAAACAACCCAATTTATTAATATGAATATATTATGAATTTAAATATGAGCAAAAATTGGTCTCATGATAGACTTGAATTTAATAAATATATCAAATTTCATCACATTTGAAAATTTTATTTATTTGTGATTCTGTTTTTAATTTATGATACTAACTTTAAATGAATAACATGTTTAGAAAAATGTTTTTAATCGAGATTATTAAAATGAAATATTATTAACTGGCTTTTTAAATAATATAAAATTAATTATTTTTGTTTGCGTTTGAGTTTGATCTTAAATGGACTATCTTAATCAAGTTTGACCGAAAATATTGGAAGTAAAAGGACAATTGTTTTCCTAAATATTTTATTTATTTATTTAGAGATAATTTGAGTTTGTAGATATTTTTGCAAAGCGGGGTCTACTACCACATGGGGCGTAGGGTAAAACCACAACTCTGTTCTTTATGTGCTTCTTATTTCTTTTAAGTTTTTTTTTCTTCAAATTTTGTGTTTCTTTCAAACAACACATTATGATTTTGTACTTTTTCACTTTTTGGTGAATTTTTTTACTTTACAACTACTTGCATAGATATAACTAATAAATTACTTGTAACAGACTAATATATTTAATTATTACTTTTTCTTTAACATTTATAATGTATAAATTATAAAGATAAAATATTTGTAAATATTTATATTTAATATAATTAGAATATTTTATCCGATTTTAATATAGTATCAATTGTTTTATTAAATTTTTTAATTATCATTTTAAAAATAAAGTTATTTTTATATTACGTAACTTATTAAATAATATATACTAATATTTATTAATTTAATTAAAAAAATTAATTTCATAAAATATTATAATTAATTATAAATATTTGTTATCAAAATCGTCAACTCCATCTTACTTAATTATAGAAAATATATGATGAATTATTTGTACTTGAAAGACACTTAAATTCACACTCATAAATATACATATCATTTAATTATCTAAATGATATAAAATTAATGAAATGATTAAAGATTTAATAAAATGATTAATAATATATAAAAATAAAAATAAAATTTATATTTAATACAATTATTTTTATTATAATTATTATAAAAATATATTTTTTATTCAAATTATAATTTCAAATATTAGATTAAATATTCCAATGAATTTGGCCATTAAAATTGACTAAATTAAAATTAACTTCATTCAACGTTATAAATAATATATGGAGTAATGTTTATCTTTTGGATTTTAATTATATAAGGGAACTCCTAAAATTAGGGGGGATTAATTTTTAAACATTAATGTAATATTAATGAATACGGTATTATTTTAATTAAATAGTAGTATAATTTTTTAATACTCAATTTCATTCTTTACATGAACATTAATTAGTAAATATGTATGCATATAACTTTCTAAAGTTTTCATAAATTCAAATAATTTTATATTCTCATATATTCTCCTCATTTTGATTTATAAAAGATGTGTTTCAAAAATATTAATTAATACATTAAAATGACATTGATAAACAAATTATTTTAAATTAAATCTTGTAATTAATTATCAGTTTTTACTTTAAAAACAAGTTTAATAGACATTTTATATCAATATAATTTTTATAAATAAAAAATATATTTTTAATTTCAATTCTCAATTAAAATATATTTTTTATAAAAATAGATATTCGTTTTATGCCAGAGCTATTCTTTTATATTAAAGAGTATCAATACTTAATTTCGAAGATATATATAATACAGTCCTAAAAATTCATTTTTATAATATTTGAAGAAATATAATTATGAGATATTGTTTACATTATTTTTTTATAAGTTTATTTTATATATCGTTTAAAAATTATAGGATATTAAAATTTAAAAATAAATAATACATTATATGTAATTAATTTTAACGATGTTAATTTTTTCTTTTAAACGGAATATTAGAATATACCAGAGGATTAAAAATAAAATTCCAATCTATATAAATTAAATTATGTTTCTGTATATTCATAAATTTCATATTATATAAAAATTAGAGATTAAATGTATTATATAAACATATTTTTTTTGTTAATCCAAAATATGTGTTTTAATGATAAAACCTATAAAAGATTAAAATTGGAAAATAGATAATAACTTAAATATAGAATTAATCTCGATAATCACCCGAGACTCTAACACTCCTTTATTTATACTTTTAGCCTATATTCATTACTTTGTATATAATATTTTTTTAACTTTTACAAATACAAAGTAAAAAAAAAATATATATATATATATATATATATATATATATATATATATATATATATATACATGGCGTGTATTTGGGTGAGTAAATTGAGAATATTAAAAATTACAATAAATAAACAATTATTATGTATATAGTTATTTTTATATTAAATGGTTTAATTTGATTTGATTATAACTTCACATGTTTATAATTATTCATAATAAAATAACTTTTTTCTTATAAGTATTGTAATTATTTTGATCATGATATTTTTAATATGATTCATATTGATTTTAAACATGAATTTAAATATTCAAGTATAGAATTATGAAGTTCATCGTGTGTAACAACATATAATTAATAAAATGTTAACATTTTATTTTTAAAATCATATAAAATAAATATATTATTTGTATATTTTACTCTTATATATATATATATATATATATCACATGCATATAATGAAATAAAATAATTTTAATTTTATATAGTTGTTTTGTCGCACACACATAAATATTCGAATTAATAAAATTATAATATAATTTAAATATTTTACTGTAATAAAAAAATTAAGGAATATGTTATAACTTTGAATTAAAATAAATTGAAAACAATAAGGGGAGATAGATGACAATGTGAAATCTCGTGGAAGAAAAGAAGGTTTTAGCTTAGTATTGGATTTTGAAGGCACTACATGGCTTGTTGGATTGCCCTAGAACTGAAAGCACTGAGGGAAATATTGATGATAATGTGAAGCATGTCCCTACATTCCAAAGAGATGATTTTGTTGGTGATTTAAGTAAACAACATTCAAACATCAAGCAAGCCCAAGATGATTCCTGAAAACTAGATAGAGTCTTAGAATACTGGATATGGAGCTACAAGTTGATGAAGTAATATTATGCATAAGCCTTCAAAGTATAAGTGTGATAAAATTTCTTAACATGACATTTTTCACTGTCATAATCAATTATAATACATCAGAAATGGAAAAACAATTTTCTTTTTGTCATAATCAATTATATTGGTAACATAATCGATTATGGCAGTTCAAATTTGAAAAATATATCCGTTTTGAAGAATAAATGTTTTTTAATACATTTTGATTTTTCTCTACGAAAGTATTAATGACCAATGACTATTTTCTGATGTTATTTTCCTATTTAAATGAGTTTTGATGAAAAATCAAATATACACAATTAAAGAATTCGAAAATACAATTTACATTCAATCAATTTTGAGAAAAGAATTTTGAGCAAGGCAACAAATCACTTTTAGGTTTTATGAGAAAACTTTTTCATATTGTCTTCTGCATTTTCATTGTTAATCACACTTGTTCTTGGAGGTTAACATTCTACAGGTTTCTACAATTTGTTGTCTCCATTACCTAGGTGTGACTGCTCTTATTTTATTATGTTCCCCCTTTTTAGGGTTTAGAAAGTTAATGTTAAATTCCCTGTTTAGAGTTTAGGTGGTTGTCGTTAAATTCCCTGTTTAGGGTTTAAGTGGTTACTATTAAATCCGTTTTTAGGGTTTAAGGAGGTGTTTTCATCCTTTTAATTTGTTCGGGGAGGTGTTCATCCTTAGTGGGATTCTAAGGAA